CATAGTTCTTGGAAAATGTAAATGAGACATAAAGTCATGTTGCAGAAGTACTCTCCCTGTCTCTGCGAACATGGGGCTCCATGCCATGCTGAGCTGGGGCCCCTTCAGCAACAGGACTTCCTCAGGCTTCCCTCTTTTAGAACTGCATTCCAAGGCCAGATGGTAGCTCTTGCTGTCAATGTGTTTTTGACTTCCAAGTTTTCTGTTACTAAAATATTTGGTTCTCAGAGCTGCTGACAGAATGATAATCACAAAAGTGGGACTAATTTGAACTGAAATTTTAGTTATCAAGTCACTGCAGATGTAATAAGAAAAGGCGAGCGCCAGCCCTGGGGTCCTGTGCCCCTTGCAGGGGTTGTTGTGACTAGTAAGTGGCATCATGTCTGTAAAGCCATTAGTGTGCTTTTCTTCCTCCTGCTGTGGCAAGCACGTTACTTCAGAGGAGCAAATGCTTGGGAAGTGAAAGTTCCACAGTCTTGTGTTTACAGACAGAGTTCGTGTATATTTATCCCTCAAAGGGGGCACATTCTAGTGGTAGCAGAAACTTGAGAGTCTGAAATGCTCTTTCAGGTGTAATAACCTTGTAAGCCATTTACAGAGTTGGAGGCCTTTCTGTATCAATGAATAGAACACTCTGTGTGTGTTCCTTCCAATTTCTGAGGCATCCTCGCAATGCCATATTGACTAGCCTTTGATTTGAGGACTGACTTCATTAGACCTAGGAAGCGAAGAGGAGTCCTGGTGTGGCACTGTAAGATAAACACTGGACTGCTAACTGCAAGGTCATCATTTCAAATCTACTAACAACTCCTTAGAAATGCTATACACAGCCATTTTGAGTGGTAACTGACTTGAAGGCACTTAACGTTTCTAACACAGAAGCTGTATTCATATGCATGGGACCCTGGAGTCCAGAGCTGAGACATGGGAGAAGAGGGTCCTTGACACCTGTCAGACCACAGACCTCACTCACCTGGCCACCACAAGAAGGACAGTCCTACTCTGCCAAGGGACTGAGCAAGCAGAGGCTTCACAAGAACAACTAGTACAATGATAGTAGTGATAGTAATAATAGCAGCTGACATTTATTGACACCGTGTCCAACACTATATTTTTCCCATTTAATCCCGATCACAACCTTGTAAGACGAAGACCATAATTACCCCCAGGAAACCAAAGCCCAGTAATTTATCCAATGTCACTCAGTAGTACATAGGCCATACCTTCACTTAGACTGTCCACTTCCCTTTCCTAATACAATCTCTGTACAAACTCCACAAGCCTGCCTTTATCATCCAGCTGAATGTGCAACCCCCATTAGCAGGTCTTTCCACTGAACTTCCTAAGTTGAGGCTACGTGGATAGCATCCTCTGTATTTATGTTGATCTGTTTGTGTGTGTCCTGATCTGTATTTGAGAATAAACTCCCATCCTTCAGGGACCATGAGAGGCTCCTTTCTGGCTGTACACCCTGGGTCTCCTGAGTGGTCTGGACCAAGGGTAGAGCCAGCATCTTATGAGCAGTGTCACCAGAGAGGCCACCAATGAGGGATGGCTACTTCAATCACTGTTCTGCCCAGGAGGATGAGTTACATGTTTGCTCAGCCAAGGAGAGACTTGGTGCAGTGAGTCAAACAAGTCTGAGATGATTCTGGTTGCATGCACTTGGCAAGGAGTGAGAGTTGGCAGTCAGACAGTGGAGGGAACCAAAACCTGCTTACTAGTGAGTCACAATCAAAGAAAACAAGCAATCTGGGGCCACTCGTTATGAAAGCTTGCAGGCCTGCTTCTGCAAGCTCTGAAGATTTCTTTATATCGATGCATTTTCAAAGTTTATCAAACATACACACATACATCACCTAGGCACTCCTTGATCACTTTAATAGTATTATTATTAGCCCACTTAATTGTCACAGCAACTCTATATAAAGTAAGTACTGTTGTTATTCCCCACTTTACAAATGAGAAAACTGAGACACAAAGACCCCACAGCTAGTAAGTAGCAGAGTGAAAGTAAAGGTCAGCATTCATCTATGTGGTATTAAAATACTAGAAAATGTGAATTGTTTATAATGTAATGTGACAAAGCAAGCATTAGTACCTTTCAGAAACTGTTATATGAAAAGTATTATTTACATTTAGTACTTTTAAAGAATGTTTTTGTTGTTGTTGTTGTTGTGAAGTGCCGTCAAGTCAGTTCCGACCCATAGCAACCCTGTATAGGGTTTCCAAGGAGCAGCTGGTGAGCTTGCAGTTCAAACGGCTTTGCAGTCTGACGCATTAACCCACAGCACCACACCAGGACTCCTTTTTAAGAATAAGTGCCAGTCAGTGATCTAGGAAATTCAGTTATATAAAGGAATCATTTCTCAAAACTGCAACATGTAGTATGTTTTTTTTTAAAAAATGAGTGTGGTCACACAAATATGCATGCATGCATCTATGTATGTGTATGTATGACTGTGTGGGTACATATGTGTACCCCGAATGGGATTTCTGAGGAGAGGTTTCTGAGGTGAGTTTGAACCCCCGACCTTGTTATTCAAGCCAGCCTTGTAGTCCACAATTTATCCTACAGCACCATACCATCTAGTCACATATGTACATACAGATATGTATGTGTGCATATTCATACATGTTTATTCATATATGTAATAAACCACATAGGGGACATGAGCAAATACTTTGTGAGTCTGGTTTTCTATGTTTGAAGGCTTAGGACGATAGTCTGATGGGGCAACTCAGTAAATTGGCATAATATAGTTAATAAAGTATATGTTCTCTATGGCAATGTGGTGAGCTTGTGAAAGGACATCCAAGGTACATTTTTTATTGATTCATTTACTCTTCCTGAACAAAAGAGAAAGAAGAAAACCAAAGCCTAAGAGAAGATATAAATCTCCAAGACTAATAGTCTATACATTCCACAGCATCATCTCCCTTAGACCAGAAGAACTAGATGATGCTCAGCTACCACTGTGACCATTCTGATCAGAGCCAGACTAGATGGACCCTGAGAAAACAGGAGAAAATGGGGAACAAAACTCAGGTTCTTAAAAAGACCAAATCAACTGGACCGGTTGGACAAGAAAACTCCTTAGGATTGTCGCTCTAAAATGCTCTTTAAACCTTAAAACAAAATTATCCCTTGAGAGTCCCTTTTAGCTACGTAAAACTTTGATAAAATCTTTGTCTCTCATATTTTGGAAATATTGTCAGGAGAGAGTAGTCACTGGAGAAGGATGGCATGTTTGGTAAGATGGAGAGTCAGAGAAAAAGAGGACGACCCCCAAAGAGATGGCTAGGCCAAGTGGCAGCATCAATGGACTCAAGTGTGGTAACAGTAGTGAGGTTGGCCCAGGATTGGGCAGTGTTTCGTTCTGCTGTGCATAAGGTCGCTATGGGTCGGTACCTACTCATGGCACCTAACAACAGCAACAACAACCTGTGAATAATGAGCTTTAAAAAAGCATCTATGTGAGACCAAATGAACAAAACTTACCTTAAAACAAAGATAAGAAATAAGAAGGCGGAAATACTAGAGTTCTGGAATTGGTACAACCAGAACAGGTTGAAAATGATGACACATTATGAAAAATATAGCCAATGTCACTGATAAATTTGTGTTGAAATTGTTCACTGGGAACCTAATTTGCCATGTAAACTTTCAGCTTAAACACAATAAAATATTATTTTAAAAGAAATAAATAATCTTTGAAAGATGGAAATTTTTACAAAGCCTTTTATCAGTGACCTGGTATCTTTACAAGCTCACAGCATGCAAGGAAGGACTTCAATTCCTCTGCTATACATGACTTATTACAGACCAAGAAAGCTGTGACCAAGACAACCCAGTGAGTTAGATGAGGAGTCTAAATCCTAGTCCCAGCCATATTCATACATGTATATTCATATATGTAATAAACACAAAGAACATTCGACCTAGTGGAAGGGGATCACATAAATTCAAATGTAATGACTGTGTATAGTCTTTAAGCCTTCAGATAATCTGTTTTGTTAGAAACGGAGCAAAAGCATCTTTGCTTTTCTTGAGCATTCATCACATACCAAGCTTAGACCGAGATATGTTACAGGTAATCAATGAATCCTTGTTTACTTAATCCCTGTGTTTTAATTTAGAGCAGATTTAAAACTATGACTTCCCTGCATGACACCATCTCTTTCTATCAAATTGTAAATTAAAAGCAGGAGATTACAGCCCATAGAATGTGTGCAACTTCAGCCCCAGCTGAGAATGACTTTTTTTTCTTTTCATTATCTTTAACAATTGGGTTGCTGAATGGATTGTCCTTTTGGTAACTTCTTGGCAAAAGGCCGAGTTTTGTGTATAGTATACCTGATATTGTGTGTATTCTTACTAATGTTGTTGTTAAGTGCCATCAAGTTGGTTCAGACTCATAGTGACTCTTATGATTTGTAGTCCCATGCTTATTATCCTAAAGACCCATTGTTGTTGCTGTTGTTAAGCTCCATCAAATTAGTTCCAACTCAACGACCCTGTATAGGGTTTCCAAGGCTCATAAAAATTTTCACGGGAGCAAAAAGCTTCATCTTTCTCTCATGGAGCATCTGGTGGATTTAAACTGCTGACCTTGTGGCTCGCAGTCCAGTGCTTATTGTATGGAACCACGAGTCTCCCCTTCTATAAGGTACATTGTTGTTGTGAAGTGCCATCAGGTCAGTTCTGACTCACAGCTACACTGTATATAGGGTTTCCGAAGAGTGGCTGTGATGAATTTGAATCTCCAACCCTGTGGTTCAAACCGACCTTGCAGTCGAGTGCTTATCCTACAGCGCCACACTAGAACTCATAGTTTAGGTATATAATTGGCCAACAAGTTCTTATGATGTATCCACTATGAGCCTGGAAGTTGCTCTTTTTTCACAGAGACCTATACTGAGAGAATGTTAATTACAAGAAACTGTTTCAGGCTGTTCTGACTTTCTCATTCACATTGTCATTCTTTTCTCTCCCCAAGGGTCGAGATTACTGTTCGGAAGAAGAGGATATCACATAGCGTCAATTTTACCACTCAGACCAGGAGCTACTACTGTGTAAATAGGTTACACCCCAGTTGAAATCTTTGCAAAGGTCGGTTCTCTTCAGCGAACAGCACTATAGCAAAAGAAGATCGTTCCATATTGTATGCCCCATTAAAAAATTACAGTGTTTCTTAATGAACTTGCAAAGGAATCTTGCTAAAAAAAAAAAACTGTTATCGAACTTTCTTTGTTGCTGCTAGTTAAAACTTGTTGCAACTTTTCACTTCTCTTGTGTCCAGGTGTGCAGCAAAAATCTGCAGTTTCACCTTAAAGATACTGTTGGTTTTACAAATGCTCTCCAACCTATTTTCTATCAGATGAGGTAGTGGTGAACTCAGATATCAAACGTCTATTCTAGGATGGTTCTGCTTCTAAGACAAGTGTCTCCTTCCCTCTCTCCTTCCTCCCTGTCTCTCCCGAGCCGTCCAGAAACTAGCTGAGCCTTGCTTCTCACTGGCAACGTTGAGCTTTGGAGATGGGATGGTTGCTATGGCAAGCCTTGTTTCTCTGCTAAGAAGAAGTAGAGAAGTTATTATTGATTAAAAGCATGCTGTGACATGACCCCTGGAAGTGACTCAGGAGCCAGCAGCAGGTTGTTGCATTTAATACGTATCTTAACCAAGGATTAAGCTTGCAACATTGGCTTTGCTCAGATGCAAATGGAAGTGTGTGTGATCACAATCACTTTGAACCTCTCCTCCCCACTTTTTTTTTCTAAGAAAATAAACATTTTACTGTTTTTATGTATCCTTGTCTTCTACCATTCATCCAGATCAGTGTTCTAAGATGATCCTGGGTACAGAAGTGGAGCCCACCTTTTGCAACAACACTGATACCAGCCCTCATGGCTCCCTACCCTTCCATTAATTACCCATTAAGCATTAGCAGGGCTGTAAGTGGTCCTGGTGTGGTGCTGCAGGATAAGCACTGGACTGCTAACCGCAAGGTCTGCAATTCAGACACCCACAGGGTCGCTATGAGTCTGAACCGACTCGACAGCACTTACCAACAACAACAAGTTGTCAGCAGAGATGAGGGAAAATCCCACAACTTTTGACAAGGGCCTGAGACCACCCCATTACTTTTCCTTTTGTTGGCAAATAAACCATCCTATTTCCTTATTTCTTCTTTTCACAATGCTACGTGAGCCTTGTCACTAGGTTTTTCCTCTTACTGCCAGCACTGGATAGTACCAGTGAGAAGTGTTTGCCTCCCGGAAAACGCAGCACATTGACACAGGTGGTGGCATTTGGAGAGGCGAAGGTCACAAGCCCCTGAGCCATGGTGGGGAATATTAACTGTATCTTCTGTAGAGTTTATTTTTCCATATTCTATGAAGAAGATGAGCTCTTCTCAAAGACAGAAGTAATATTTTTAACAAATATTGTCACAAGTAAATAGTAATCAAAGGGGAAAATATAACTTTTGTATTTTTTTAATGAGTTTGATAGCTTTGAGGAGGGTTCTCTTTGTTACTTTCTGGGGAGAGGGGCACCCTGTGAAATTCCATACCAGCAGTCCATTGGGGTTTGTTGGGGGAAAAAAGACAAAACAAAACCACAGTAGGAGTACTGTATGTTTCTCTCATTTTGGATTGTGAATTCAAAGGGCCTCCAGGGTCAGCCACAAGACCACCCTCCAAGGGTAGGTAGTTAAGACATTCTGGGTAGTCAAGAGAGCACAGGCTATGATATAAAAGAGTCCTTATTGCTGAGAGGATGAGCTGGGACTCTTGCATCCAGCCACATAACTGATGGTATCATTGATATGCTAACGAGATTCCTTATCTCCTTTGAGATGCAGGGCAGCCAAAGTGTGGGGCAAGAAATTCAGTCTAGTGCTATAGAAAATGGGCTCAAATGTTAGCAACAAAAGCCCTTAATTCTCTCAGCCAGGCAGCAGCTATTTTGGGGAGCAGCTGTGGTTGTTACATAAATAGAGACTCAGCCAAAATTTAAGGCTTTTTTATCCTGTTTCAAGCAGAAAAATGCAGGGAGAGCCGAGTAGCCTAGGCTTTTAAGTTCCCTCCCTACACATGATTTTTGGCCAAGTGACTAAAATAGGTCTTCTCGGCTCTAAAGGAGCTGCTAAGCCCCACCTCAGACATGTTCACTAGAGACTTTGTTCACTGTTATGTGGATGGGCTTTTGCTTGGGATTTCTTGTTTCTACCACGCTAGGATGAAGCAAATGCTAAACATCTTCCATTTGGCTCCATTAGCATTTCAACCAAGTCTTCCCACAATAATTACCAGCCTCTTCTACCCAAAGATGAAACATGCTCATATCATTTTGACATGTCACACACATACACAGAACCAGGTGTTTCTAGGGAACCCGGTGTTTGCGTGATCATAAAACCACAAGGGTTGTTCTCATTAACCAAGGGTTTTCACCTGGCGTTTTGTCTCCCATGTTGAGCACTAGAGACATCCTTGATATGCAAGAGTGATTTGATCCTCAGACGCACATGGTGCATCTACACCTAGATCGGTTGGCGCAAAAAAAGTTAATTGTTAGCCACACTCAAAACCTGTCTGTTTTCCATTTGGTGTTATTCATAAAATTGTCAAGTGACTTGTGTTTGTACTTGATTTATTTATTTTTCAATGCCTTCTAAGAGGCTCTCAAGCTAAAACATTTGGCCTTTTTGTTCGTTCTGTGTAACCGAACATTAGCAGATTGTCTCAGCTACAGTGAAAAGAATCATCCAGTGTACATGCTGATGCATTCTGGTGGCCGCTATTTCTGTATGTCTGGGTGAAACAGAAGGAGGGAGGAAGGAAGGGCATTGGCCAGGTGGATGGAGACAAAGGCTAAGAAATGGGCTGAGAAGAATTCAGCAGAGTTGATAGGATGGTTGTGTGCCAGATGCAAAGTCCAGCTGCCCGGTGGCCAGTGGGTGGGGCAGGACTGTCAGCAAGATTTACAGCTGTATTACACATGCCTGTGTTGTCTGAGTTGTAGAGTTGTAAAAGTTCAGCAGTGTACATGAAGCTTTTCTTTCATTGGAGGAGATTCAAGATCGTAGAGTACTGCTCTCATAATTGAATGTGTGTTTGTTACTGGCAGTCACCCTTAAAAAAGGCTTTTACCTCAGTGTTGCCTCCTGGCCTCAAGCTTGAGCAGAGAGCACAGAGTGATGTTATGGTCTATTTAAGAACAAAGGAGCTACAAAGTCCACAGACAAGAAAACTAGGTCAGCCTCAGAAGCAGCAGCCACCCAACAGCCTGCTGGGAAATAGATTTCTCCCCTTCTGAACTGCCCATGTCTGAAATTGGGTTCTGGTGACTCGAATCAGAAAAGACCTGACTGAGGAGAAGCCTCCATTCTTTAGGCCCCGATGTAAGCGCCTTCAACTCAGGGGCTTAGCAAGACACACAATGGCTGTCATGGCAGAGCCAGCCACAAGTGCCACCTCATAGCACCCATGAGCCATGAGCATGCCCAGGGTTGAAAGTACTCCATAGGATGCCATCCTCACTTTGCATTATAACTTTGTCCTCCTCCCAACCTCATAGTCACTTTTTTTGTTGTTGTTCCTTAGGGACTAATTCTCCCATGAGCCAGGTCCTGCGAATTTTACCTCAGTAGCCTGTCTGCAGGCGGGCATGTTGATCCCAGAAATCCCGCTTAGATAAGACTCGAATTTTAAAGGTCCTGCCATTTCCACTTCTTTTAGGAAAGGAACTTGGTTGATTAAGTTGGTTTTGTAGGAAGGAAAATGATCAATGTCTTAATCCAGGAAAATGTTGACTCTGAATCTTGGACTCAGGACTCTGATGTGTTCTTTATTTAAAAGACACAACAATTGGTTGTTGTGTCTTTGCCCTGCCTCCAGAGGGGAAAAAACAAGGCATCCAATTGTACTTTATAATTTTATGTCAAATTTACCTTCCATGATTTTCTCTTTGAAAGGCATTCTTAAAGCTTTAGTTCTTTGTATCTCTCAGAAATTAGACTTTTTGTTAAGTTGCTTAAAATTTTTAAAATAAAGTAGGGCTAGGAAGAGGGACTATTTGAGAACATGAGGAAAGGTTATTTGAAATAGTAACTTTGGCTTCAAGACTTCACAAGTGGATTACCGGATACACATACACACACCTGCCCCCACCCCCTCGCCCTCCCCCGCCCCCAGTATGCCTAGATGAAGTTACAAGACAATCACCTTTCGAACTACAAATGTCCCTGTAATACACCCTTGAGAATTTCATGAATGCAGCCTATGAATTGCCTTTTGCCAAGGAATAGACATGATTTACCAAGTGTGTGTGTTGGTGGCGGGGCATCCTTGACTTCAAGTGCCCCCCTTTTTTAAATGTTTCTAGAAAAGGTCAAAAGCTATGGTGTAAAATGGGGCTTGTCACAATTTTATTTTGTCACAAACCTTCTGATTCATTTTCAGGAACTTATGTACCTTATCTAGGATCTATTCTAATCTGAGGAACAGCAGAGGAAACAGAAAAAGGAACTAATATTAGCCATTTACTCACTTTGTGCCAGATACTGTGCTAGGCATTTTATATTCGCCTTGTATAATCCTCCCAATAATTCTGTCAAGTGAATATATTAGCCCCATTCTCTACAAAATATATCTTAAATGTAGAATGCATCTATCTGACCTAAATGCTCATATTGAAAGAAGGAAAGACATCATTCAAATATTTTCCAAAACATGTTATTAGTACTATGTCCTTTATTCCAACACTGTGAAAACATCCCTTTGGGGGTGTCTACCTTCTGGAATCTCTCTTTGGCTCATCCCAGCTTGGCTTCATCTTGGGGAGTGTTCTACTAGGCTAGCTTACATCTGATGAGCTACATGTCAACCAGGAAAAACCACTGGCTAGCAGGACAGGTTTAGTGCCCACATGGAAGAGGCTTTGGGGATTTAGGCATGACTCTGCCCTTGAAATTCTTCCAGCATTTGGGAAAAGAACTTGGCATTAATGCAGCTAGACACCAAATGAAGCTAGGGTGGGCTTTGGGGGAGCTGTGATTTCTCTTCTGGTTTCCTAGGCTGCATCTTGTGCTGAAAGGTTGGGTAGAATCTGATCTCCAACACTGGAGGAAAGATAATGCCTGGACCATGGACTTGTATTGAACTCTTCTCACGTTAGTTTAAGCACTAAAACTAGATGTGAATCTCTTTCAAGACTTTAAGTGGTTTTGGAACTCATGAAGTGACTTGGATGGTGTTTTAAATGAATTATTCCAAGGTCAGAAGATCCCAAGAACTCCCTAGATATCTTCTCTTTGCTTATTAAGATGCATCCTTTTAAAGATGACTCATGTCTCCATAGCAACCTTTAAAGGTGCTGCCCAAAGGGGCTTTCACTCCCACCCTCACATACTTAGCTTGAAGAAATCGGAATTTGCTTGTTTAAAGGGGCTGTCCAATTTTCCTATGAAAACCCTTCAAGATCCTGCCACTTTCTAATCTGGAAACTGCCAAATTCCTTCAAGATGATGTAGAAATTAATTCTTGTCTTTTGTAAGCCAGAGAAGTTGCTAAATTGAGCAAAGTTCACCCATAAGCATAGGCCTCATATGAGACAGCCTGCCCTCTCTGCCTTGAATTCTCTGTTTCCCCTCCCCAAGAGTTGTTTTTAGGCCAAGGCTTTGAACTTGGTTAAGTAAGACTTGGAGGGAGTAAAAAGAACACCATAAACTCAGTCGGAATTGCCTTTGGATCCCTAGGGTTAAAAATAGGTCTAGAATGCTGTGCCTAGGTTGGCCTGGACC